GAATATTTTGTACGGAAACTTTGAAAAAAGTTTTCTTGAATGAGAAAACATGGCTTCAAGGAAGATCCTCCGGCACTTCCTCCATGCGAATTTTTTAAGGTTTATATTATTGATAAGTATTACTTATTATCAGTATCACCCAACTAGAGGACTAATGCAAATCCTGCATTTTGATTGGCTACGCTACTCGAGGACTATTAGTAATAGTCCTCGAGTAGCGAAATTGGCGCAATCGAGCGTGACGCTTTCTTTCGTTTTATTCCCAAATNCGTAGCCCTTGCGGGCTACGGGTCTAATTGTTAATTAACACTTGAGTGTTTTTCAAAAAGCTGAAATTTCAGCTTTTTGAAAAACTTACTAGTGCAAATTAATTCCAAATTGAACGAGAAAAACCGTATAATTACCTATACGAATTGTACGGCACGAGGTCCAATCACTAATTAATCGTCTCAAAATTTCGAAAAAGTCAGTAGTGCTTCCCATAGGTTTAAGGCGGCTCCCTACAGTTTTACGATTGCACGCGTGCATAGGAAGAAAGCTCAAGTAATCTGCGCGCGCGCAAAGGAAAACCTAAATGTTTTTCGATTTTTGTGACGTCAACATGAGTACAAAAAGGAAAACTGATAGTGAATTTTCTCGCGTTTCCTTCGGTAAATTTTTTTTAAAATTTGGCTCAGTTGTAACCACATACAATTCCTATAAAATACTTTATTTTTGTTAAAATCTGTCAGAGCTAATCTAATATATTTAGAAGAATGACAAACTACAGAATATTGGAAAAACCGTCTGAACGACCTTGACTTTTTACCAGTTCAAAATGTCAGGCAATATCATTTCCATGATGCGGCAAAGTATGAAAATATATCTGCCTGCCATTAGATGAGATGTTGCCATGGTAATGGCCTTAATCCAAAAATTGACAACCAAAAAATAAGCCTTATTCTAACAGTACCCATACTGGTAAATCTCTACAGGGAAATCTTTAAGAGAAATTAACTAAGTTTCCTTTTCTAACTCGCGCTCTATAGGGAGGGTGCTCGTAAATACTCTAGTGAGCCACCTTAAAATACTGCAAAAAGCATGAACAAGGAAGCCATTAGAGCGCGCGTAATTGACGTGCGGATGGCGTAGATATCCAGTTACAAAAAGTTGTAACTGTATACCTGCAATTGGACTTTCATGTGATAGCGCGCCGATCACGTAACAAATAGTAATCATAATGTTCATATAACAATTCTCTTTTTGGGTACAGGAGGAGGAAGAATGAGACTGTGATGAATGAAAGGACACTTCAGTTACTTGTAACCTGACTATGACATGGACAACTACTTTAAAGTTTGTGAAATAAATAAATTTGCCTTTTCTTCACTGTGTAGTTTATCCACTACTTATATTTTAAATCGGTAGCCCGGGTAGCGTCTCGGACCCAATAAATTAACACCTTTAGAGAGATTCTCTTCTCGCCTTCAATTTTACGTCTCAAGAGTGAGCGTAGGTATTCTTATGCGAAGGTTTAAAGGCTTAAAGTTTATTGATAAATGCAATCTTATATCGTTGATCACTCTCTTAATAAAACGCCATGTTTATAAACATCCTGTCTTTAAAATCTAATGATAGCATTTATTTTACTACGTCTTTTTTAGCTTTTTTAGACGTTGTTTTTCTGAATAGGCTGAGACAACTAGCAACTGACAATAGACAACTGACATGAGCAGCTTTTAACTCATCCTTAATTGACATTATACAGACCATCTATTTCACTGTCGAGTCTAAGGTATCATATTTGTTTAGCCTGCATCCAATCAAAGAAAGGTTGTGCTAATTTATTCCCAGCTCCTACTGCTTCCACCATCTTTTAATTCTCGGCGACTTTTTACTGTTTTCATTCCGATTAAAATAATCATGATCACTAGGGACTAGTCTAAATCCAAAGTGAGTTGCTTATCTAGTCTTCAGCTACAGCCGTGACCAATTTATATAATGTCAGAGGTCTAAATAACTGTTATGGTCTTCAGTTGATAATTGTCTTCTTATTAACAGTTGAGTAAACACCACTAACAAATATTTGCTAGGTATGACATCAAATATCAGGTGGTTCCAAGCTTTGAGCATTTAAATGTCAATAAATCAATTCCCACTCGGTAGCTTAGGGTTTCTGGATTAAGACTTATTTATAACATTTATTTTTAAAAGATGTGATACCGATCAATTTTGATTGTTTTAAGAGTTTTTTAACACATTTTCACTTGTGTCTGATTTTTTTGGGAGCCCTAAGAGAATTTCCCAACCCAGAATCATTAGAAGTTCCTGTCTAAAATAAGCCATCTGCGTGCAAAGTATACACTTCATTTTTATGCCAAATAAAAACATTATAAGCTGCATTCTACTGGCTTAAGATCATTCGTGTAGACAGGACTGCCATTTGAAATCGTAATCGTCCTTTATTAATTTTATGCTATAAGATAGCTGCTTATTTTTTTAGCCGTATGGTTGTTATAGGGAGCTATTAATACCATATTTGTAGGCTTCAAAGTTAATGTGTTCTTCATCTCCTTTTTGGTATATTTGTTGTTTCTATTAGAACAATTTTCATTTCCGTAACTTATACCTCTCGTATCGTCGTTGGCAAAACTTGACATGAATATTAGTTGCGGCTTCAACGAACGACTGAACAGTGCGGCATCCATCGTTCTCTCATTGTGGTTCGCCTCCTCTGGTTTAGCAGCTGTCATTGGAAATGCAGTGGTACTGTGGTTATTCTACAAAAACCAGTCTTTACGAACAATTTCAAACCGATTTTTAGCCTCTTTGTGTGTGGCAGACTTCTTAGCAGGGCTTGTGGTGCACCCTATGTTTATAGCTATCAGAGTTTTCGCTCAGCCACAAAGAGGTAACATCTTGCTAGACGTTATTCACATGGTGTGGATTCACTCAACTGCCGCCACAGTATTTAACTTATCTTGTGTTTCTGTTGACCGATTTATTGCCATTCGCTTTCCTTTTCGTTATCAGGACATTATAACCAAGCAAAGATGTTGCGCAGTGATTATAATAGTGTGGTTAATCTCACTGTTTCTTCCTTTCTCCTGGATTTTGGTAAATGCGACGACCGCAGAAGAATTCTGGTTTTCTTTATCATTTATATTTTTTAAACTTCCAATAACTGTTGTCACTTTGTGCTATATTTGGATTTTCACAGTCGCCAGGAAACAAGCTAGCAGAATAAAAACGGAAAATCTTCAAAACTCGAACGAAATGAACACTCCTGTTCGTGTTATAAAAAATTACAAAGCTATCAAAACCATTGGTTTTGTGTTGGGTGTTTTTTTTGTTTCATGGATGCCTTCTTTAGTGGTTTCAGTTGTTGAGTATGTTACAGCAAATGACAAATGTTTTCGAGATAAACTGCTTTACGTTGTGCGGCCCTGGATTGTGGCAGTGGGTTTGACATCATCAGCGATCAACCCGTGGATATACTACTTCCGCAATGAAGAGTTTCGCGAAGCCTTGCGCCGCTGCTTCCATTGGTTTCCTTTGAACGTTACACCAGAATTTCCATTAGAACGAAACCGGAATCAGAGAATGTGAGGTCAGAGGGGCAGCATTGCTCTGAATATCTTTGAAGACACAAATCAAACTGTAGTCATCATCGCCGAGTCAGGATGTATACACTCGCTAACTCTCCATCTCTATAACAGGATGATTTTGAAACTTTTAAGGACATTTAAAATCATTTTATCTTTTTCAGTTTGTTATTATTTTGCTGCACAATAAGTTAAAATAACTTTACAAATATCAAATCAATGAGACAAGAAAGCCCACGGAAGCTAAAAGGCTTATGTGAAGGACTGACCTGACCTTTGGAGTGATCCAAGACTCACTAGCAGGACGGTTTCATCTAACTATGTACATAATTAAATGTTTTCTAACAGACAAAAATGGTCATTATGTAGCATAAAAAATAAAAAATATCAAGCTCTTTCTTGTGTAAAAAGCTCAGCTTAAGACTTATTAAAGTTTGGTTCAGTGTAACAATTACAGGTATTAGTTTGTGAAGAACTGGGTTGTGTCAGCGCCAAACGAAACACATCAAGTATAAAGGTAACTTAATGAACCGCCTTAACGGGTTATTTTACAAGGCTGACATCCGAGGAAGTAGCCTTTCTCTCAGTAGCGTGACCTGTGATTCTTTCTTTTCTCTCTCTGTTGCTCGATCTATGACAACCCAGTCAATCTGAGTTCTTAGCTACCCTATCAATGTTGACAAGCCCCAAGAACTCCCAAGCAGCTGGCTGCCTCAGGCTGCTAATGCTTGAGCTCAATCTCCTGTTTCTTTCAGTTTTCTTCACGGTATAAAACGCACCAAGGAGCCTTGGTCGAGCCTCTTCTTTATCGCCAAGGCCCCGCGTTTTCAAAAGATGAATGAGACACTGCATAAATTATCATTAATTATATTGATCATTAGGGAATGGGAACAAAATAATCCAATGCAATAGTGAAGAGCGAGGATCGTCCTGAGAGATTCAAAGGGAGCTTAAGCAAACCACAACGAAAATTAAACATCAACGAGAACGTCACCAAACAGAAGATGAAATGAGCAGAACAATATGTAAATGGCTATGCTATGCGCGTGCGTTTTGTATCTTGGTATTTTTCGCATCTTCTTTTGGAATCGAAGGCTGCCGTTACTTATTTAACCAGAGCCGGTATTTAGACCAATAGGTCAACTGAACAGATTTACACAATCGCGATTTTCAATCTATCTTTTACTATACAAGGCGTCGTCCTCGGCGTCGCCGTCGTCATTGCTAAAGGTTCTTAATGAGGCATCCTCGTTTCCAGGGTGTTTTCCCCTGGGAAAGAGGTTGCTTATAAGGACCGAGGGAAGCAGCTATAACAAAAGACCAATGGTATCGAGCTTCATTAATAAAAGATTTCTTACAGTACTGAAAATAAAATGGAGAAAAAAATCCTATAACACGGACTGAAATGATACCTTAAGTTCAACGGCGCAATTCTGATTTGAGCTGCCATTTATTTGTTTGTTTGTTTGTTGTTGTTGTTGTTGTTTTTTTTTTTACGTTTTAAATTCGTTAATTTATTTCACTCACTTATTTATCGTTTTCTTTTTTCTCTAATTTTGTCTCCTTATTGTATCTACACCCTTAAGCCTTACTGCCAACCAACTTCTTTATGTAAATACTATTTCATTTCACTCCGTTCAATTAGCTTTTAAGTTATTCTGGGTGAATTTACCTAATTTTCTGTTTTAATTTTCTTTTTTTTGTAACCAAGAGTTTTTTTTTTATTTTGGTAATAAAGTGTGTGTTGTTTCGGATAATATAAACACTTCCGTGTTGTTAGGCCATCGTAGCTTGATTAAGAATGTAATGCAAACAAAGGTTGTTTGTTTAAAAGAGTAAATTATAAAACTACAAGAAAACCACACAGGATCATTCGGGACAGTGTCCGGTCGAATATTTGACAGTCAATAAAACGATCTGATTGGTTTATATTTTAGTTATTGGCCCTCCGAAGTAACTTAGTCCATCATATTATTAACAGTTACTGGACGAGGTTGGGCAAAATATCGTGATTTGACGCCTACTGCCAAATCACGATATTTTGCGAGAGCCGAGTTCGTAAATATATTTTATCATTCGATCACGAAGTTTGTTTTCGTATTTAAATCACTCTCTGACAGCTCAGTGATCTGCCATTCTGAACGCAAGAACCTGGTTACAATTACGCATGAGCAGAATATTATTTGCAACATGGACGGTATTAAGCAATAGCGGACCATTATTTGTAGGCAGTCATTTGCAGGTCGCGTAGTGGGCTCTCAGCCAGTGAAAAGGAAGAGAAAATGCGTCGAATGATAATTAACAACTAGACCCTTCGTTCGCAAGGGCTACGGGTCAATAGCGCATGATATATAATCAAATGCCAGGTGTTGGGAAATTTTATCTAGCAATTATAACCCACTAAATGGTGATGTGATCAAGACAATGATTCAGAAAATAAACTACGGCACGACTTCTTAAACTGAGCCAATCGGGAGAAAGTTGAAAACAATATATGGTGATTATTTTCGTTAACAGACCAATGATTCTACAGGTTCCATGCGATAGCTCCAGAAATTGCTTTCTAAAAATAATCAGCAAGCTTTTTGGGGGGTTTACTAAGTTTAAAAAAAAAGCACATTGAATATTTATTTCTTTTCTCAGTAACAGCGATGTAGAAAAAAATGGCAAACTTAGTCAGATTCTTTAGAATTATTCTCTGAATGTTATTATTTTAGTTAACTTATCAAACATGAATGTGAGCTGCCTCAACGAGCGACTGAGCAATGCTTCATCCATCGTTCTCTCATTGTGGTTCGCCTCCTCTGGTTTAGCAGCTGTCATTGGAAATGCAGTGGTGC